ACGGACCCCGTTTATCGTGCCTATGTCTAGTTTGATGTTTCGGGTACCGTTCGTAGGTTTATGAGTCTATTATATTGCATGCTAGTTGAATTGGTATCTCGTTAACCTAGGTGGAAGGAGTATGAGCCCCGTAGGACTATTCTTAGTATGTGATGGATCACGCATAGGTTCTGTTATGCGCTTTCTCCCCCTTCCCAATGTGTAATATGGGTTGCATGTGCTTGATATGTGTTATGTGTGGGTGTTACCCCAATTCGGTTGCGATCGGATTGGTTATCCTGAGCTGCGGTTCAGAAGCTGGCTGCGGTCAGATTGACACTCTTGGGCTGCGGTCCACCGTTTGGTTGCGATCAAACGTTTCTATACGAGCTGCGGTTCGTCCTCTTTCCTGGCTGCGGTCAGATGACATTCTCTTGGGCTGCGGTCCACTGTGTGGTTGCGATCAAACACTATGATGAGTTGCGGTTCATCGGTCGGTTGCGATCGACCCCTCCGTGTTGCGATACGGGGCAGGGTGCTGCGGGGCCGTGCCAGAGCTATATGCGCTGACCCTCATGTATGGGCATGCGATTGGTCCTGTGGCGCCAACAAAGTGTGTTATGTGTTGTGACATGGACGAGTTGTGATTACGAGTGTCTTGGGGGGATGTGACTATGGGATTTATATTGGGGATTGTTCATGTTGGGTTATGATCATTGTTTATGCTTTGCCTTATCTGCCTTATCTGTTGTGAACTGCATATGCTCGTTATAACTGTTGCTTGTGTCTGGCCTTATCTGTCGAGTCATTCCCGGTTTTAAAGCTAGAGTTCGTAGGATATATCTTCATGCTCAAAATGGTTTTCGTATATCTATATATATCTCTATATGTATTGTATTTCAACGCGTTGGAGTGGGTTACCAGCATCTCTCGCTGAACAGATATATTTGGCTTTCAGGCACAGAGGACTAGAGCACTGGAGCGCGTTAGAACTGGAACGTAGAAGTAGATTAGTTTCCCCTTTCGGCCTGCGCGCCATATTATGCATTGTGTTTCAATGGATACTAGTTAGACAGCCTGTGCACCTGGGTTCTCTAGCCCAGGTGTGGCATAGCACCCCGTACACTTATGATATACTTTGGGATGTAATGAGATATTACCTCTATTATATAAGCTTAAAATGTCTTAAAAATCTGGGGTGTTACATTTTGGTAGTTCTTTGTTGAATGGTTAAGAAGCAGTGAAGGGAGAAGAAGCAGTGAAGGGAGAAGAAGCAGTGAAGGGAGAAGAAGCAGTGAAGGGAGAAGAAGCGTGTCTACGGATGTTGATTGAAAGATGGAAAATGACTTTCGCCAAAAAAAAGGGGAAGTCATTTTCCAGATTTGAGCCCTCATTTTCCATTGACTAGAAGTCATTTTCCTTTGACTATTTCATTTTCAGCCTTCCCAAACACCAAAAACCTGGAAAATGACTTATGTTCCAAACAGACCCTTAGTGTTTTATTTTTTTCCATGTAAACCCCAACATATGATTGGCAATATTATTATGGCAAACTAAGATAGGGTTTAGCTTGGTGTCTGTTTACTGTTATAGAAGACTGATTGATCGGAGACATCGACAGATGCACTGACACTGAAGATCTGAGAAAGAAAGAAGTTTCCAAAACACTGAACGCGGCTTGAAGACTCTTTTGGAAAGAAAAATCAGCGGATCTGTTTTGGAAGGTATGGACTGAATCTCTAAGATTGCATTCTTCTCAAATAGTCCTACCATCTACAAATCAAAGATATTTTTAAAGAGTGGCTTTTCTAAGGAAGTATAAGTATCCCCATTCGGCCAGGAATTAGGGTTACAGTTTAAGCGGACAAAAAAGCACTCTTTGCTATACAGAAGATTACATCTTTGAGCATGTTTCTTCTCAAGAATATATGTTCTCGGTGATTATGATGAAGAACTTTAGAAGAACTATCGTTACTTGAACGAAAGGACACGAAGATCACTCAGTTGTGGGAATAACGTGGGACTGTGTCATTGAAGCGGACTGCATCAGAGTTAGCTCTCCAACCGAAGGGATTTTGTTGGACTTCTGCATGCACAGCTCTCCGCCTTCAACAATCTACTAAACCTTTGTAGACTGGGTACATACCTTGTGTGGGGCACTTGGGTGAGATTCTTGTTTCTCTACCTTTGTACATTGGATCATGAGTTAGTGGATTGGACGCCTCGGTGATTGTCCCCCAGACGTAGATACACACTGTATCGAACTGGGTAAACATTGTGACACCCCGAAAATCCTACTCCTTAATTAGGATTAATTGAAGAATTAATCCTAATTTCCTCATGAATTCCTTTCCAAAAATCCTGAAATTTAATAGTCAAGGGACTAGAAGTTGACTAATTCCTTAGTCAACCATGAGTACCTTTTGATTTGTGCTTTGTACCTAGCCTTTTAGTAAGGGTAAATTTTTCCTTTCACACAATGCTAGCATTAAAACCCTACCCTAACCAAGGAATCCAAATCATTTTTCAGGATTTCCCTTCTCTCCACATCTCTTTCTTGCTCCCTACTCCTCCTTCTCTCTAGGATATCCTAGGGTTCATCTTCACAAGTTCTTCAAGAAATCCCAAGCCAAGATTCCAACTTTCCAACACTACAAGGCTAGCAATGGTAAGATCTATCCTTCCCTACCTTTTCCTTACAAGATTCCTCCATCTTTTCTCTAAATCTTTCTTCTACCTTGTGAGTTTTGGGAGTTTGTAGGAGATCTAGTGGTGGGTGAAGTGCTAGGTTGATCTAGAGGAGCTTTGGTATTGCTTTGAGGTTGAAGAAGGTGTTCTTGGTCTACAAGACGTAACCCATGCTTCACAAAACCTATTTTCACTTGATAATAATAATTGTTGGCTTCTATGTGACATTCTTGATGTGTTTGAGTGATTGATGCATGATCTTGTGATAATGCATTTTTAGAGCTTGTATTTTAGGGTTCTTGGATGTTATTTTATGAGTTAATCATAGGTTCAAGTCATATCTTTGTTGTGTGGAAGATTTGGGGTCATTTGGACTTGAACTTGGCCTTAAAAGTGCAAAACAGCGAATGCTGATTTTTGGGTGCAGGGTGTACCCGCGGGTGGAGCCCTACCCGCGGGGAACATGTTTGAGAAATGGTTTGTGGTTGTTTTCCCACCCTTTCGCCCATTCGTGTGTGATTCTTTGGCCCCCGTTTGATTGGATTGTTGAGCTTTTGTGTGTCTCCTTGTTGTTACGTATGTTTAGAGCGATGTCTTAAGTATCCAAGTTAGGATTTGGTGTCTTGAATCGTGCTATGTGTTCAACCTTGTGATTCGTTGAACCATGATGAGTCTTGTATGTTCTTCGGAACTATGTTGGTTTACCCGTTTGTTAGGCATGCTAGTTTGATGTTGAAATACTAGCGTGTGTGGTTTGTTCTTTCCTATTGTGGATGATAACTTGTGTTGATCATCGTTGGTGTCGGATTGTGATCCTTTCCTTGTTGAGTATGGTTTCATATCTTTGTTGTGATCCATTGGTTGATTCCTATGATGATTGTGTGTATACTGGCTGTACCTTGATTGCACGGTTAATGGTATGGGACATTAATCACCAAGGTACAGATGTGGTCCTCGTGGTGGCCATGAATTGATGTGATGAGATGTTTGAGCTGGTAAAGTGGACAGTGTGGGGACTTATGTGTGAACGGACTGGTAGTGAAGCTCCAGATGGCCGTTTGGTTACTTGTGACTTGTGGGCAACATGGGAAACTCATCCCCGTTGCTAGAGATGGTAACTAACCAGTTGAGCTTGGAATCTCAATAGAGATGTATACACTTAAAGTTGCTAGCTCTGTTTCCATTGGGTTGCGGTCCTTGTCATTGTGATGACACTATGTATGTGATCCGGGTCGTTGCGATGACTACGTGATACATGTTTGTTGATGATTTGGAGCCCTCCACACTGATCCACTATGAATCGAGCCGTGGTGCTGACTCCACGGTATACGACTTGGTGTGATTGTGTCCTATATGGACTTGGAACTTGTTATGGTGTGAATATGGCCTTCCATTGCTTAAGAGCATGTCTATTGTGAATCCTTCGTTGTGTGTCGCATGTTGTACCTTGTTGTTGAGCTTGTTGCTTGTGGTTCTATTGTCTTGTTGAGTATGTTGGTCTTTGACCTTTGTTGTGAGTGATTGATGAGTCTATTGGTGTTTCCTATCCCGGCTTTAAAATGATATATACTGTATTCCCAGTTTCAAACACTTTTGATTATATTTATGTATATTATGATACTTAACGCGTGTTGATGGGTTACCAGCATTATTCGCTGACCGGGTGTTATCCCTTATCTTTTACAGGTTGAGTAGCTTTGGAGAGCGTGCTAGTGGCCTGTAGATAGATTAGATCTCTTCCTTTAATAGTTGTTGAGGCCTGTGAGCCTAAGTAGTTGATTTGTTAGACTGGTTTAGTTGTAGTATCTGCCTGTGCACCTATGTTTGATATAGGTGTGGCATAGCACCTCCGTGTTTAAACGTTGCTTCCGTTGCTTAATGATTAATGTTTAGCTTTATGTCTCTTGTTTAAGCTTTTAAAATTTGTTGAAAATCGGGGGTGTTACAAACATCGTTTTTTTTTATTTTTATTTCTGCTTTTAATTTCCCTCAACAAACCATTCTCCGATTTATCTGTCTGACTGACACCTCACGCGATCTCATCTGTCAGTCATTTACAACAGTGCTTACTGCTAGCTATTATCTTAATCTGGGAAAATGCAAAATTACATGTGGTATCAGAGCTTTTAAGTCTACACAATGACTTGATCCTTGCGGGAAATTCTTTTTATTTTGTTTTTTCTCTCATTAAGAACCTGTCTCTCTTATTGTCTGTTGGGTATTTGTCTGCTTTCTGCCTGTGTTTTTGGCTGGGTGTCTTTTGATTCAGGATGGATGCAAGTATGAAACCACTTGAATTGGATGGTCACAACTATTCCTTCTGGAAGGCTCGAATGGAGATTTATCTTCAGGCTCAAGGTACCAGAGTCTATCGTACTGTTCTCACTGGGTGGAGTCCTCCAACAGTGCAGAATGCTGATGGAACTGCTGAAGCCAAACCTATTGAGACATGGACTGGAGAAGAGATGACATCTTCTGATCTGAATAATAATGCTCTAAATTCTATTGTTGGATCTCTGCATGAATCAGTCTTTACCCTTGTCACCGGAATAAAAGAAGCAAAACGTGTATGCGACACTCTTGAAACTAGATACGAAGGTACCAGTGATGTCAAGCAGTCAAAACTTCAGTTGGTATTATCAGAATTTGAATCTCTCAGGATGGGTGAAGAGGAAACAATATCAATCTTTCACAGTCGGGTTCAAAGTTTGATGAACCGAGCCTCTGTACTTGGCGAACCTTTTACTGATGAAAGAGTGGTCAAAAAGATCCTTCGATCTTTATCAAAACGTTTTCGAATGAAGGTGACCGCAATTCAGGAACACTCAGGCTGGGAGAAAAAGAGTGTGGGGGAACTTATGGGAAGCTTACACACTTATGAACTTGAAGTACTAGCGGATGATGAACCTGTGACCAGTAGGAAAGGCAAGTCAGTAGCTTTTGTTGCCGAAGCTGATCGAGAATCTGACACAGACGATGTTGATGACGAATCCTTGGCTCTTCTAACGAAGAACTTTAAAAAAATTCTAAAAGGTTTCAACCGCAGTAGTCAAGGACAACCCAACAGGACACAGTACAAAAGTGGAACCTCCTCATATCAGAAAACAGAAACGCCCTCCTTCTCACAGAACAATCAGCCTCAAAGTGGCCGAACAAGACAAATCAGAAGTAATCTGACTGACACTGCTAGACCTCTAAACATATCAATGCAATGTCGAGAGTGTGAAGGTTTTGGACATATTCAATCTGAATGTTCAACTTATCTCAAAAGGAAGAAAGCTATGCCGATGGCTACCCTTAGTGATGATGAAGAAGAAACAGCAAATGATTAGTCTGATGAAAATGTGGGAAACTTCGTTGCCTTCTTTACGGCAACAGAAAATCAATCAGAAGAGAATGACACAGATGAAGAATCGTACATATCATCAGATGACTTTGAAGAGAGACATACACAACTGGAACTGGAATTTGCCAAACTAGTTGGAAGTTGGGAATAACTGGTGAAGGTTAACAAGAGTCTGAATGACGATCTGAAGCAACGAGATGATCAACTGAAGAAACTATCTACTGAACTTTTCCTAAAAGAAGATCTCATCACTCAGATAAGGTCACGAGATGGAAAATTGATAAAGGAACTGGAGAATATAAAGAAGAAGATCAAGATGATGGATACCACCTCTACCTTAGATAAAATTCTAGATTCTGGTCGAAATCCCAATGATAAGAAGGGACTTGTTTTTGAACGAGGAGAGTCCTCAAAGAAAGCACCTATGTTTGTAAGAGAAGGAACTTTAGTTGATAGGTCCTTTCATGATCAAAGTCAATCATCACAGATAAAACAGAAAGGGATCATACACACTGGAATTACTGAATATCAGTCTGACAGATTCAAAGTACAATCCCAGTACTCAAGGTTCAAGACCAAGCCTGTAAAATTCAGACAATACATACCCATCTGTCACTACTGCCAAATAAAAGGGCATACCTGACCTGAATGTTATTTCTTCTACCGAGATCAGAGGAAGGGTAAATATCAGAACAAGTCCATTACCCCTTTTGTGAGACAAGTTTGGGTAAGGAAATCAGAGGTAATCTGCTACCCCACAATCGTTCTGCCCGCCTCTATGACCGCAACAAGATGGTATTTCGACAATGGTTGTTCCAGACATATGACTGGGAATGTCAAGTGTCTTATGTCTATTCATCCTAGTAGTGGATCGGTTACGTATGGAGACGGACAAAAAGGAAAGATTGTTGGAAACGGTACCCTAAATGTTCCAGGTTTACCACATCTGGATGAGGTTCTCTTAGTCCGTGGTCTGAAAGCAAATCTCATTAGCATCAGTCAGCTATGTGATCAAAACTGGAACGTGTGCTTTAATCGAGACTGCTGCAGAGTCAGTGATAAAGCAGACCAAGTGGTAATGGAAGGAACACGATCTTCTGACAATTGTTATGTTCTGACCAATAAAACAGCTTGTCTGATATAAAAAACAGATGAATCAAAACTATGGCATCGACGATTGGGTCACATAAATTTCAGAGATATGGATAAAATGATCAAGTTAGATGCTGTTCGTGGGATACCTAAACTTAAAATAGAACAGGAAGGAATCTGTGGAGCTTGTGCCATTGGAAAGCAAATAAGGACACCTCACAAAGTAGTAAAGATGATAACTATTGAGAGATGTTTTGAACTGGTTCATATAGACCTCATGGGACCAACTCAGACTGAAAGCATGGGTGGAAAGAAATACATCTTTGTATGTGTAGATGACTTCTCTCGGTTCAGCTGGGTATACTTTCTGAGGGAAAAGTCTGAGGCATTCAATGCATTCAAGACTCTATGCATAAGAGTGCAGAAAGAAAATGATGAACCAATCATAAAAATCCAAAGGCTAAGAGGTGATCATGGGAAAGAGTTCAAAAATTCTCTGTACTCGGATTTCTGTTCTGAAAATGGTATAACTCATGAGTTCTCAGATCCCAGAACAGCTCAACAAAATGGTGTGGTGGAAAGAAAGAACCGAACCCTACAGGAACTATGGATTAAGGCTATGCAAGAGGAGCTTCATCAGTTTGACCGAAATCATGTGTGGGATCTTGTACCTAAACCTGAGAAAGTTAACATAATTGGGACAAAATGGATTTTCAAGAATGAAACGGATGAAGCTGGAAATATTACAAGAAACAAAGCTCGGTTAGTTGCTTAAGGATACACCCAAATTGAGGGTATTGAATATGATGGAACGTTTGCCCAAGTTGCAAGATTGGAGTCAATCAGAATTCTATTGGCAGTTGCATGTATTCTTGGTTTTACACTGTTTCAGATGGATGTTAAGACAGCTTTTCTGAACGGGTATCTGCATGAGGATATCTACGTAGCACAACCTAAAATTTTTGAAGACCCAGCTCATCCGACGCATGTCTACAAGCTAAGGAAAGCTCTTTATGGGCTTAAACAAGCTCTAAGGGCATGGTACGAACGTCTGACACAGTATCTGCTACATCATGGATACAACCGAGGCAGTGTTGATAAAACCTTGTTTGTCAAAACCATTGGAAGCCATGTGACTATAGCTCAGATTTACATGGATGATATTGTCTTCAACTCTACTCTACAGAAATATACTGATGACTTATTGAAGGTTATGGAGGAAGAATTTGAAATGTCCATGGTAGGTCAACTGACTTATTTCTTAGGACTTCAAGTCAAATAGAGTGCTGAAGGCTACTTCATTTCGCAAGAAAAGTATGCCAAGAATTTGGTGAAAAAGTTTGATTTGGAATCATGCAAGACTCCTAGAACTCCTATCTCCACTTCCACAAAGGTATCAAAAGATGATACTGGTGTGTCAGTGGATAACACAGTCTATCGAAGCTTAATTGGGAGTCTGCTCTATTTGACAATAAGTCGCCCAGATATTATGTTCAGTGTAGGGATGTGTGCAAGATATCAATCTGATCCCAAAGAATCACATCTAATAGTAGCTAAACGGATTTTGAAATACATCAAAGGCACAATTCAGTATGGGTTATGGTATTCCAAGGACAGTGAACTCAACCTAAGTGCATATTGTAATGCTGATTGGGCAGGGAACATAGATGACAGAAAAAGTACATCAGGTGGATGTTTCTTTGTTGGAAAGAATTTAGTCTCATGGCTAAGTAAGAAGAAGAATTCAATCTCTCTAAGCACTGCAGAGGCAGAATATATAGCAGCTGGAGGATGCTGCACTCAATTGGTCTGGATGAAGCAAATGCTGTTAGACTATGGTCTCACACAACGGACTATGACACTCTACTGTGACAATGTTAGTGCTATAAACATCTCTAAGAATCCTGTTCAACACTCCAGAACGAAGCACATTGATATAAGACATCACTATATCAGAGACTTGGTAGAGTCAAAGGAGATAGAATTGGACTATATTCAAACAGATAAGCAATTGGCAGACATTCTGACTAAACCTCTGGATGCAAATCGGTTTGAGATTCTTAGATCTGCTCTGGGAATCTGCAGGATTGATATATAAGGCAGAATGTTGACATAGAAGGAGAGTGTATGATAATCGGGTCAAAATTTTATATTTGACTACCTTTTTAATCTCCCTTCGATTTATGTTAAGATTAGTTCTTAACCTTGGTTACCAAAATTAATTCGCCTCTTTCAAAATTGAAATCGTCTGTTTAATCCCTAAAAATGCTATACCGTTGCGTCAATCACATCCTCTGCATACAGTCTGACAATCGCATTTAAGAGGGTTCATCACTCTTGGGATTGTATATTTGATCGGGCCTCATTCGTTTGAAGAAAGAGATCAAAAATACTACTTTGCTCTCGGTTATTGGCTTACTGATTTCATCTAGGGTTTCTCTCTTCTCCTTCCCTAATCACACCATAATGGCGGATGCTGTGAGGAATATCATCATCAAGCTGGGAAGGAAATTCCATTCCCCAGAAACAGCCAGCAAGCATGTCAAAACTCTCCTACAACTTGCTATGAAGAAGAAGTTGAAACTTGACCCTGTTCTCCGCGACGAAATTGTGGTCACAGTGATCTCAGATTATCCGGAGTTCTATGCGGATTGGTCTGACGAAGACACAAGTGACCTCTTGATGCTGGCCTTTGAAGCAAGTGATGATGTTAGCCCTGCATCTATACCTGAACCTGATGACGGAAACCGGGCTGGGGCCTTCCTCCAATTTGCCCAGAGGGCACTGGAATCCGAAGAAGTCTCACGACGGCGGATAGCAACTCAACCTCTCTATCTTCAAGCTGCTGAGGAAGAAGCCAAACACCGTCTTGACATTCTTCGTAACAGGTCTAACACTTCTGAAACCCCTATTGAGATATCTCCGGTAAGCTAGATGATTTAATTTCTGATGATGTTGAATCTGCTCTGCCTGTTGCACAATTTGTTAAATATTGTCCTATCTGTGAAATCTTCTGTGTCTGATGATCCTCTTCGTGTATCTTCTGAAAATTTGGAGTGTACCAAAGTTGTTCTTCATAGTAATTCTGATGATAAGGTAGAAAATTTGAGTCTAGTTGTGTACTCTGCTGATGTTGCAAGATCTGCTATTCCTGGTGTGCCTGTATCTGATGCTGCAAAGTCATTGGATGAAGGTTGTCCAGTTAATGTTTCACCTAAGGTGTCGTCTGAAATTGAGCCTGCCAGACCCTCAAGTCCTCATTCTTCTAATCAACTTGATGGAGTTCCAGTTTATACGTCAACCTCTTTGGCTGAGAGGCTTGATCACATTCGCCACTTTGCTGGTTTACCATCTACTTCTGTACCAGAACCTTATAAAGTCATTCACCCAGATGATCCTTCTGTACAGACTGACATTGATGATGAGAAGATTTTGGCTGAAGTTTATGGTCCTCAAGCTCAGTTGTCTGTACCTCTTACTATGGAAGCAACAGCTCATCCAGACTCGACCTCCTTCAAGATTCGCGAAGTATCTAAACTTCTTGGTACTTCGTCTGCTCCTGTATCTGAGACAAGTCACTCAGTTTCACCAAGTCCAACCGATCATTCTCCATCTAGAGAGACCAGAAAGTCGAAGTGCAAAGGAATTCCTGAGAGAGTAGCTGTTGAGACCGGCGATGATAATCTTGATACGGTTCAACCTAAGAAAAGAAGACGATCTGCTGAAACCGTCAAGGCTGAAAGTGATCCACCTGTGCAACAGGTTTTCAAAACTCTGCGATCGTCTGTCAAGAACAAGGCACCTGCTGTGAACTCCACCACATCTACCAGAAAGATGAAACCAACTACAAGGTCGAGAGGAAGAAGTGTTACTCCTAATGTCCAAACTGCTTCGGACAGCCCTGACACATCAATTTACACACCTCAGTTTGTCTCTGCTACAGCTCAAGGAAAATGGTCTACGATGGTTCGACAGGAACTAATAGTTCAACGATCGGTGGATGAGAATCAGTTGAACTCTGTCTGTGACATTTTGCCTTTGCTCAGTGAAGTTGGCCTCATGAAGACTGTCACCTCCATTTTCCCCTACTCCATGTTGCTGACCTACGAGTTCTACTGTAATTTGAATGAAGAAATTGACAACCTTACGGGGACCCGGTGCATGCAGATTTTCATCAGAGGAAAATGGTATGTGCTTGACCCGGACGTGATTAATGAGTATTATGGTCTGAAGGCTGTTGATGAGGAAGAGATTACGGATTGGGATTTAGTTGCAAGGACCCTTACTAGTGGTCAGACTCCTATATGGCCAACAGGTGATGTGGATACTCTGTCTAGCTCGAAGCTCACTTCCAGATACGTCATTCTGCACCGTATTGCCTTACACAATTGGCTACCTTCTGTTCATTTTAATACGGTTGGCAAACAACTAGCTGATCTACTATTCCGCATTAGCACCAGAATGACCATTGATCTGGGGAAGTGGATCTTCTATCATTTCCTCACCTTAATTCATCCGAGGGAACAGAAGGTAAGGTTACCTTATCCTAATCTCATCTTTGGAGTTCTGACAACGCAGGGCCTGGTCCCAATGCCAAGCGAGATTATTTGCCCAACTTTTCTATACACTGTTGATCCACGGCTCTTGACTGGAAAGCACATTCGTGATGTTACACCAGTGGCTGCTCCCCCGTCTTCTGATGCTGACACTCCTGTTGATGACTCGCCACATGCGAGGGACATTCAGCTCTCCCTTCAATTGAAGGCTCGAGTGTCTGAGTTGGAAACTGTTAATGGAATCATTGCGAAGCAGCTCACTGCGGCCCGTACTGAACTTGCCACTGTTCTGCTTCGTCTGAGCCTGACTGAGTCTGCTGCTACTGAAAACGAGAAGTCCGACAGTGATGCGCCCTCGAATGCCTTATAGGTCCTTTGTCTATCTTTGGCAAAAAGGGGGAGTGATTGGACTCGGGGGGAGTTTTTGTGTCTCTGTACCTTCTGGCCCTGTCTGGGCGTATGTGTGTGATGATCTACGAAGAATGCTACTCCTTGTTTTTGTTTGATCAGCACGACATGTGTGCTGTTTTCCTTTAAGGGTTGTAATTCAGACTTATGCTCTTTATGCGATGTTTTTTTGTCATCCTTTCTTTCTCCATAGTTTTTGTTTTATCTTAGTCGAGTTGTTTTGCCAAATAATAGCCAAAGGGGGAGTTTGTTAGTGTTTTATTTTTCTCCATGTAAACACCAACATATGATTGGCAATATTATTATGGCACACTAAGATATGATTTAGTTTGGTGTGTGTTTACTATTATAGAAGGATGATTGATCGGAGACATCGACAGACGCACTAACACTGAAGATCTGAGAAAGAAAGAAGTTTCCAAAACACTGAACGCGGCTTGAAGATTCTTTTGGAAAGAAAAATCAGCGGATCTATTTTGGAAGGTATGGACTGAATCTCTAAGATTGCATTCTTCTCAAATAGTCCTACCATCTACAAATCAAAGATATTTTTGGAGAGTGGCTTTTCTAAGGAAGTATAAGTATTCCCATTCGGCCAGGAATTAGGGTTACGGTTTAAGCGGACAAAAAGCACTCTTTGCTATACAGAAGATTACATCTTTGAGCATGTCTCTTCTCAAGAATATATGTTCTCGGTGATTATGATGAAGAACTTGAGAAGAACTATCGTTACTTGAACGAAAGGACGCGAAGATCACTTAGTTGTGGGAATAACGTGGGACTGCGTCATTGAAGCGGACTGCATCAGAGTTAGCTCTCCAACCGAAGGGATTTTGTTGGACTTTTGCATGCACAACTCTCCGCCTTCAACAATCCACTAAATCTTTGTAGACTGGGTACATACCTTGTGTGGGGCACTTGGGTGAGATTCTTGTTTCTCTACCTTTGTACATTGGATCATGAGTTAGTGGATTGGACGCCTCGGTGATCGTCCCCTAGACGTAGATACACACTGTATCGAACTGGGTAAACATCGTTTGTGTTGTTTTTATTTCTGCTTTTAATTTCCCTCAACAAACCATTCTTCGATTTATCTGTCTGACGGACACCTCACACGATCTCATCAGTCAGTCATTTACAACAGTGTTTACTGCTACCTATTATCTTAATCTGGGAAAATGCAAAATTACAACGACAAAATATCAAACACCTATAATATGGTTCAAATACATTATATATTATAATACAATATTTATGATAGACTACAGGATCGTTAAGGGCGGAGCCAAAACTATACTTGGGCTGGGTGAAATTTCAAAATACTTTGAGAGGTTATAAAAATATTTATGGCAAAATATAAAACACAATCAATTAAATAAAATAGTTTGAATAGAAAAGACATTATATTCATAAATAATTAAATTTAATTTTCTTTTAATTAAATCAACTTTAAATTTTTCTAAATTAATTTGAATACGATGAAGTATAATATAAACTTGTTTACTACATTGACTAAATGATTCACAAAAAAAAAAAAGTAGACTTATTCAAGGTTAAACCAACTAAGCTACTAAATCCCTTAGTGACTTGTACATGTACATATATATATTCAGGATTAGAAAGGGGTGAGGGGGGCAGCTGCCCCCACTGCCCCCATTGTGGCTCCGCCACGAACTGTAGTGTGATGGTATCTCAGTTATCCTCTTCAAATAGGTGGTCATAGATTTGAATGTTTGAGAAAACATAGAGCAGATAATACCTTGTAAAAAATAATGAGTATTTTAAAAACAAGTACTAATAATGTCCTAATAGCAATCTCAACAATGAGATTTTTGTATTGAAAGCTAAGGTGTCTTGTTATCCGGTAATCCTAATCTATGGGATTCCATTATGTGGAACCAAACTCCTACGGGTATCTTCTCGGTTAGTTCTGCGTATAATCTGTCTACTTCCCAACCGATAGCACAGACTGGAAGCTCATTTGGAGTACAAGTTTGCGTGCCTAACAGGATTAAATTCTTCATGTGACTTATATCATGCACGGTCATTCGAGGTCGTTGGCGAGAAGATATAGTGTCGCTTGAAATAATGGTGAAGTGTTGAGGGCTCTCGGTCTGATTTAAGGGAAAAAAAACCCTAGGTTTGCATTTGATATAAGGGAAAATTAAAAACAAAAAGTAAAACCCTAGGTTTGCATCTTCGCAGGGGCGACGGTGGCAGGGCAGCATCAGTGATGGCGTCGGATCGGCAGAAACAATGAAGAAATCAACGACGGCTGTGGCGTCGACAACTATGGAGGTTCGCGGTGGAGTTATATCTAAGAGAGTGTGGAGGCTGGCGTCGTCTGAGTGAGAGAAGGGAGAGTGAAAAAGATGACCTAGTAGATCTAATCTGGGAGGGTTTAGTTTGGTTAACTATATGCATCCGAAGTTTGAGAGCTTCGGACTCATATAGTTTTTGCAAATAAGCTGCCCCATAATATGCGTCCAAAGTTCCGGAACTTTGGACGCATATTGTTTTTAATTTTAGAAAAAACATAAAAAATATCATATATTGACATTTTAATTACAAAAATGTCACTGCTCTCCCATTTACGCGTCCAAAGTTTAAACTTTGGACGTAGATTCTTAGATTTTTTTGATATTTTTTATACTAGCGATTTTACGCAATCTGATGACTACTATGTTTACCAGGGAGTCAGCGAAGACATCGACGATGTCCTATTGCTATGGAGGTTTGGAAGGCCCTCGACCATGCCTCCCCAACTTGTTGAGAGAGATCTCCGGAAAGACGGGAAGAAATGGAGTGAGGAAAATCTTAAAATAAGAGGGATGAAACATGATGAAACATAGATTTTTGAAAGGACCCCTAGCCACAAATTTGGCCCTACATCGGCCTCTGCCCAACAATTCTCCCTCTCAGCACCTATCAATCTTAACTGCATAGTGTTTACTCTTGCTGGGACTCGATCTCGTGAGCTGGCTCTAGTACCACTTGTTAGAATCAAACACTTACCACTATTTCATAAGTTATAGCTCACAGTGAGGATGCAGCTAGCTATAGCTTTTGGCGTAGTGGTAAGCGTTTGATCCTAACAAGTGGTACCAGAGTCAGGTCACAAGTTAAGTCAAATTGATCCTAACAAAAGCTTTTCTAGTAGCAATGAATATTCAATTGGTTTGTTTATTTTTGGGACTTCTACAGCTATGGGATGAACACCTAGTTTGGCAGATCTCTTTACTTCCAGCCGTTGGTAGGGTGGTTGTGTAACACCCCACTTTTCTAAGTCTTAATTATAACCCTAAACAGTCATTAACATAAACTAAACAGCGGAAATATTAACCAAAAGATAAATAGTGGGAGTGTCACCGCCACAACCACCACTCCGTGGTGATTGCACAAGCTAAAGGGTACTTCTTGAAATAAGATAAAAATCTGGTATCTAAATAAAATACTGGAAACGTAAGGGAGAAAAACGTCACCCCAAATAGTCTACAACATCATCAAAAGAACATAAAGTCAATAAGTCTAGTCATCACAACATGAACATCAATAAATCTAGAGTTTAGACATCTCTAACTACGAGACTAATCTAACTCGACTTCTTCTCACTGCTGAGTCCACCTGAAAGGGGTTTTGCAAGCAACACATAGACAAATAGGAAAACACCCGTTTGCACGCAGCTAATTATAACCACACTCAACCTTGTAAAACATTCTAGCATTTACTTGAAAACATTTGATTTCTTTATCAACAATAACTCATCTCAATTCACCTTTAAATCTATCATATACTTTCTAGATGCTTGCATCCTATAATATCAGCTGGCAAACTCATATATATATATATATATATATATATATATATATATATATAAGACTGATAACTTAGTTTCACCAACATATAACTTCTCAAATGACTTATCGAGCAAATCATGCTTACAGATAGGATCATGCTAATAAACCATATAACAGGTAGTCTCATACTTCATATTCTCATCTCACAATTCGGTAAACAAGACTTCTAATACAACAAAACAATTATAAGTCAACATTCACTTTATGTATTCTCATACGATACTTTACTCAAATACAATCTTGTGCAATGCTATAATCATACTCAAGTGCAATCTCGTGCAACAATATGCTCATACTCATACGCAATCTCATGCAATAATATACTCATACTCATATGCAATCTTGTGCAATAATATACTCATACTCATATGGAATCTCATGCAATAATATACTCATACTTATATGCAATCTCGTGCAATAATATACACATACTCATATGCATTCTCGTGCAATAATAAATAAATAAATAAATAAATATATATATATATATATATATATATATATATATATATATATATATGTATACACTCTCTTTGTAAAAATAGAGTACTTTCTGTGGAGATCTCTTTCTTTATCTTGAGTCTCTGTTGACTCGCTTTCTTTCTTTTGCGTCTCTCTTGACTCGCTTCCTTTCTTTCTTTCGCTCGTAGACGCCTCAGGGTTTCATCGTAGCGTGAATTGCCCCATCGGGAACGGCGTAAATCCGACCCAATATCTCCTACCGTCTATGGAACCAAACTCGTGGTTCACGCGCTGTGGAATCAGGTATCGAACTTTCAGTGTGCACACCCCCTACCAGGATTCCAAGCCTGGCGGACAGTTTCCAACCTCGTAACGTGGGAATACGCCGCGTTAGATGTACTGGGACCGCAATGTCCATAACTGTCATCCGAGAAGACATAGTCCAAACGGGTCCTCCAAAACCTAACAGATATAGATAATACATAAATATATCTCTCATGCATCAATCTCATGCATGCAACAACTCTACTACTTCTCACTTCATCAAAGAATGATATACCACATGCTTATGGTTTCTGAAATTATTCTTAGGCTCACGTAGGCCCCTTATGCATTTTTGAAATATGACACATGTGAAATGTCA